TTAGAAAATAACATTTGGAGGTTGTAATCAGATGATCTGAGGTCAAAGCTTCTTTGATCGTGATTGACATCGCGAGAGATTTTGTTTCTTCTTCATTCTTCCCTTTTTAAACTTCATTTGTTAGGGTTTGTTTGTAACTCTACTCGTTTTGTATGTATATTTATTGCTCATGATGTTGTATAAAACTTTTTTTTTTACAAATCAATGTTGATGTTTTTTCTTGTTTTTGCTTTGTGCTAGGATTTGAGTTGCTTTACACATAAACTCCTCAAATCTTATTCTCAGATATATATCTATTACTTTCTAGATTCTAGAGGTAGATTTAGAGTTAGTAATCATTGTGGGTATCGAAGCTTAATACTCCGTGTTGTTTGAGTTGTGCGAGACATCACCGACAAGAGTAATACAGTTGTTCTTACAACTTTGTGTTAAACATAACCTTTATTGTGGTACATCTCGTAGGTGTTTCAGAAATGGATACTTATGTGAGAGATACTTGATGATTTTGACGAGTAAAATAGATTGAGTATAATTGAGTAATGAGTTTAAGTATTTGATGGATATATGAAATTCAATCTTAAGAGTTCTCTCATATCTAAAGAATGTATTTATATTCTGTTAATCACTTTACTTTTCATACCTTATGCCTTAAACCATTTTAACCCAAGCTTAGAATCACAAAAACTATTGAATGACATTCTTTCTCTCGCACTAATTTCTGCGGAGACGATAAATTTCCCGAAAAAATATTTTCTTTCTTTTACTCTTACCGCTTTACTGAAGTTGAAACACTAGGCCGTAGACCCTTGTTAGCCGATCTGACCTATTTCCACCTTTATTTGTAAGTGGAAAAGTAAAAAGAAAAAGATATTATAGTGTTTTTTTTATAGTTTGTACTTGACATAAAAGAGTTGAGTCATAATTTAGTAAGACCAAAATTTAGATTTTTGTAACAGTTAACTAACTGTTTTGTCCAATCTCATGATCAATTTTAAAATTAAATTGCATATAACAAAAATTATTATGTTCAATCCTTTATTTTTTTAGTAAGTCAAACACATCATGATAAATAGTGTATTATGCTTACCTTACTGAGATTTTGGGTCTTTATGAACGCATGCAGTTGGTCAAAAGGATAAAATTTGATAAAGTAGAAATTCAGGTGAATTCAATTAAAGTGGTGCAAGATATGAATGAGAAGAAGAAGAATGCTCATTATGGAAAGGACTTGGTTGCTAAGATTTATAGTATGTGAGAATTGGATTGAGATGTGGAGATTAATAATGTGTATAAGGAAGCAAATTAGTTGACGGACGCGTTGGCTAGTTACATCTTCTATTTGAAGGAAAGATTTCGTTTATTTGAGGATTGTCCAAATGACTTTAAACATATTCTTAGAGCCGATGAGAATGAGATAAACATCCATAGATTTATTTGCGTGTAGTTTGTTCTTTTCGGGCTTTTAGTCCTCCTTGTAATAAAAAAAATTATTTAGAATTTGATATTTAATACTCCTATAAGAAATCTTTCTTCCATTATTTGCGATTGGACTCGATTAGGTCAACGAATATAGTTGTGACCGAATTTAAATAGTGATGTCATCTTTATTTTCTCTTGTTGGCTTTTTTTATTTTTTTCAAAAAAATATTGTTGTTTTGACTATGTGATTGAGAAAATTTGTTCTTATTCGATAATTTTTAATTGTGTTAATTTTATGTTTTAAGTTTATTTTTATTATTGTGAGTATGTTAACTTTGATCATTACAATAAAGTCTTAATTTTATAGTGTTCATACGTTTTGTATAAAAACTAAAAAGTTTAAATAGTATTTTCGTCCTTGTAAGTTAGTGAGTTTTTGATTTTCGTTCTTGAATCTTTTTTCGGTCCAAGTCCTCGTATGTCCAATTCTTGCTGAATTTGGTCTCTGACGTTAAAATTCTATTACAAAAACGCCTATGTAACTAACGTCTACTGAGTTGACATATTTTTTATTTTATTTTTATTTTTTATTTATTTATTTATTTATTTTATATTTTATATTTTAATTTTGGTACATTCCTTATCCACTACACCATTGTTATTATATTGCATCAATAATATATATATATATATATATTTCATAATTGTTTCAGTATTTAATAAATAAATAAATAAATTTATTTAATAAATACTAATATTTCAGTAAATGTAAACTATTTAGTATTATGAAAAAATAAACCATTTAATAAAATATTTAATAAAATACTTATTTAATAAATTAATAAATACTGATAAAATATTTAATAATTAATTTATTAAATATTTCAATTATATATTATAATATTTCAGTAAATACTGATAGTTAAATAATAGATTTGTTAAATAAATAAATGAAATAATTTATTAAATATTGATTTAATAAATACTGAAATGTAATAAACAAATAAATAAATTAATTTATTAAACAAATTGATTTATTCTCTCACTTCTTAATTGTTTTGTTCTCGTTATACTTCTTTAATTTTATATTCACTACTTTTAAAAAAAAATGTGAATAGAAAAAAATATAACAATTTATTAAACAAATAAAAATATATATTAAATGAGTATTTACTGAAATATTAGTATTTATTCAATAAATAAATAAATAAATTTATTAAATACAAAAATAATTAAAATATTAATAATTTATATATTTAATAATTGAAATATTTAAAAAATTAAATAATTAAAATATTAATAGTTGAAACCCAGAATAAGACCTAAAACAAAAAAATACAGTAACAGAAACTCATAATTAAAAACTTAAATAATATATATATATATATATATATATATATATATATATATATATATATATATATATATATATATATATATATATATATATATATATATATATATATATATATATATATATATATATATATATATATATATATATATATATATATATATATATATATATATATATATATATATATATATATATATATATATATATATATATATATATATATATATATATATATATATATATATATATATATATATATATATATATATATATATATATATATATTTAAGGATTAAACAAAAAACACACTAACTAATTAGAAACCTAAACCAATAAAATAATATAGTTAAATAATAATTAATATAGTTATATAATTATTTTATTAAACATTTCAAATATTTATTAAATAGGTTAATAAATATTTCAACTATTTAATATCTCAATAATTAAATATTTCAATTATTATATATTAAATAATAATTTCATAATATTTTAACTATTGATTTAATATATTAATTATTAAATATTTCAAACTATTTAATATATAAATTATTGTATATAATTAATTACTGTATATTAATAATAAAATAATATAGTTAAATAATAATTAAAATATTTCAAACTATTTAATATATTAATTACTAGATATTATTATTTTTTAGAATAAAACAATAATTACTGTGTATTATTATTTTTTAGAACAAAACAAAATTTAATAATAAAATAATATAGTTAAATAATAATTAAAATATTTTAAACTATTTAATATATTAATTACTACATTATCTAATATATTGATATGCATTGCAATTGTTAAACATAAAGCATAAATGATTTGGTGGAAGAGATTGAGAGCAATGAATTAGAGGGAGAGGGTAAAAAAAAAAAATCATAAACAAAAATAAAAAATTCATTAACTTATCAGAACGAAAATACTATTTAAGACGAATTAAAATCTCATATTGGGTATAATTTTTTGGGTCTATCATTCACATTAGAATATTTTCAATTAATGTTTATTTCATTTTCTTTAAAGGATAATGCTTTTTTTTATTGTTTCAAGTTTAATTGCAATGAAGTTTATGTATATCAATAACATTGATTCTACAAGGAATTGATTTGTGAGTATATTTAATGACTGTGCCTTTAGAAAAATAAAATTTATGCTCCCTAATTTTTAAGGATTTTTTTTTTTCACCATATAATTTTCTAACACATCATGCGAAATTACAAGGATGTCTTTAAAAATCAAAAATATATTTTTGAGACACTCAAATTTAATAAAATGTAGGTTAAAATTGAAATTTAATTTTCGATTTGAATTTCAACTTTTTGCGTTACATAGAAAGCAGAAAAACAACATTGAATAATACAAATTTCATAAATACAAAATATAATTCATATCATAACATAGACAATACATTAAGGATTAAAATAATATGTCAAGTGAACTTATTTACAGTAGTTGAAGGCAAGCATGAACCTTACAATTCCTATCCCGTAACAGAATGTATATCGGAAAATTAAACTAATCAAGGAACCGAAAAATTAACACACAGGATAAAAACATTAAACTAATTAACATACAACTGCTGAAAAATTAAGCACATCTAAAAATCGAAAATATATTTTCGATTAAGTTCAACTACTAACCGAAACTACATTTCTGGTATTAGCGTAACCTTTTTCATGATGAGAAGCAGATCAATATGAAGAATGAGGATTGAAATGAATAAATTTTACCTTAAATTTCACTTCCTTGAGCTCCTTTTGATATGACGAATCACAATAATAAAGAATTGGAGTGAAAAAATGAATTGAGAATGAAAGGTTTTTGAGAGAGTTTATGGAAAGATGAAGAAATAACTTTGATCATCCTTATCCATGCTAATTAACATTTTAAATAATATGCATTTTTCATAATACCATAAACCCGATTCTATTTTTATTTTTCGAATAAGATAAAATTATATTTAATCTATTTGTGAGTGTTGCATGATGCACATTAGAAATATATTTCTGATTTTTAAAAGACATTTTAGAAATTAAATAAAAAAAATTTTCACGGTCAAAAAGAAAATTACCCATATATGTGTTGGGCCTATCTCATTTGACATTGCATGCGTTTGTTTTGATTTCTTATATAAAAATAAAAACAAAAGAAAAGAGAATAAATATTGTGGTTATTGTTTCATTCCCGCCAAATAATCTCGTATCACCGGCAATGGCACCGGCAACGAAAACGAATGGAGATAACTCTCACATAGTGGAAGCGTTGAATCTCCTCCGGAGCAGAATCTGCGACACCGGTTTCATCTTCAAAGACTCTCCAGACGGAAACTACAGGTATAACATTCTTCTCACAAACTTCCCTTTCTCATTTCAACTATCAAATCACTAACTCATCAATTTTCATCATCAGCAAGTTGAAATTCATGATTTCGAGTTCAGTAGCGGAGGCGTGTAACAATTCCATTCTTCTCCTCGGTCCACGTGGCTCCGGGAAGCTTGCGGTTTGTTATTCTATTCAACCACCGGTTAATTTAAGGGTTTATTTCGTTTGCGTTACAGTTTCTTTTTGTTTTTTTGTTTTTTTAGGTTTTGGATCTTGTTCTTCAGGATTTGTTGATTCAGTATCCAGATTCCATTTCAGTGGTATTCAGTTTATTTCCTCCATAAAATATGAGAAATTAATTAATTTTTATCCATTAGGAATACGACACCGACACTGACACAGTGACATCGCAAATTAAACATAATCACTAGGTGTTCACTCAATACATATTTTTTTGAAGGTGTCAGTGCCACAGAGAGTATTAGTATTGGGAGATGTCACTAAGATTGTAATACTGTTTTTTCACTCTGAATTATGTTTTCATGGGTTTCTGCAGGTTAGGTTGAGTGGGCTTTTACATTGTGATGACATCTCTGCATTCAAGGTTCTCATACTAATCCAAACACCTATTGTATACTATAATTTAATTGCCTCGTTGTTTTAATCCTCCGATAGTTAGTAGTCATAGGTTTGTTTAATTCCTCGAGAATGTAGATGATCGGTTCTGGGGAAATTTTTCTCCCAACAAATGCAACTCTATTTCCATCACTAGGATTCGAATCAGGGACGTTTGCCTTTTTTGTCACGTAAAGTAAATAGTCTTTTAATGTGTCTTGATTTTTGAGGCCGTTTATGTTGCGTTGTCATGTGTGTTGGCTTAATGATGATGATTTTGGTGAAGTTAGTCTTGTTTTATTAATCTTAGGTTTCTTATTTTCTTATTTTGTTTCCGTGGTTGTTTTTTTCTTTTTCGATTTGGCCTAAACAATAAAGGAACATTGGTTAATGAAAGATAAACTATATAATAATTGTTTACAATGGATTCTTCTTATAAAATAACTGTGACAAAGGCCTTTTTGAATTCCTGTTAAATCTCTCTCCTGTGACGAACTTGTGAACCTTCAAAGGAATTTCCATCATTGGATGGTGATGGACGGGGTGCCGCTTAGATTATTTGTGGTTAGGCAACAACAATGATGATTTCTTTTGACGTGTTGTAGAATGTATAGATCTAATTACGGAAATTGTTTGAAGTAGTAGATTTAAGGTACACTGCTGCCTTTTCTTGTGAAATATCTCATTTGTGGTTGCAAATGATGTTCAATCAGGAAATAGCTAGACAGTTATGCATGGAACATCAATTGCTATTCTCAAAAGCGGTAACATGACTTACTTATATACAATTCGTACTATACACTTGCAGCAGCTATGGTACAATGATTTGTTGATTTTGATATGAACCTTTTGTAGGCATCATTTGATGACAACTCCCAATTTATGGTAGCTGTGCTAAAGTGAGTGATGTTTTCTTTGTTGAAAAAGGAAAATATTTTGAGTTTCCAAAACACTTATTATCTATCTTTGTTTTGTAGAGAATGCGGACTAGCACATAAATCTGTAATTTTCATTTTGGATGAGTTTGACCTCTTTGCTCAGGTAAGGCTCTATTTTCTATTTGCCTTTGACTGTTACTAAAAGCTTCATGTAAAATCACCGGTATGATTGTAGTTAATTGCTATGATCAACTTCTTACTAATTAATTAATTTTAGTTGTAGCTTGTGTGAAATGTTCACTATTATATTTTTTGGGTTTGACTTTTTCGACCATACATTTACTTCTCCATGTTTATAATTTTCTGCAGGGTAAACAGCGGTTACTTTATAGCTTGCTAGATGCAATGCAGTCGGTATCATCACAAGCTGTAGTAGTAGGCATTAGTTGCCGTCTGGTATGTGCTTTACAGTTATTTCCTTTTTTCCTGTAGCTATGAATGTCATCGAGTCTGAATGCCTATACATAGTTAAAAAATAAAAGGATTTCTTTAATTTGATATTGTTTTGTGATTTACAAAGTATAATTATTGGTTGGCAGTTTTCCAATTTGCTTCGCTCATATATTTTGAGAATCTATCATTGCATAAATTGCTTAGAAATATCGAGATAAGTTTTACAAATCAAGATAATTGACCATGCAGGATGCAGATCAGCTACTGGAGAAAAGAGTACGATCTCGTTTTTCACATAGAAAGCTGTTGTTCTTACCACCTTCAATAGAAGATTCACAAAGGTAGATAAACTATAATTGCCTTTGGAATGGACTTTGCTGAATATGATGTCAAACACTGCTGTTTTGACTTATTATGCAGATTATTGGTGCATATGCTGACATTGCCAATAGATTCAAGCCTTCCTTCTGATTATGCTGTTCAATTTAATAAAAAAGTTCAAGTATCCTTTTTATCCAAAGGTTTTTTATGTTGAATCTAGTTGGTTAGAGGGCCTTCAGAATGAACAGGAGGGCCATCCATTATAATTTATTCATTTTGCAAAGCACTTGGATTGAAGTTTGTATGCCTGCTATATTCTGCAATTGTGAAAACTTAATAATTTGTTACTAACCCATATTGCATATGTTTTTGCATTCTGGCCAGAGAAGTTCATATCTACTTATGTATAAGTTTGTGAGGCATGCATAATAAAGAACTATTATTGCAATCCTTTTCAGTTCTTCGCATTCATTGTGTTTGTGTTTCAATGAATAATTATTTCATCTACAACAGCTATTTCACGAATGTAAAAACTATCATTTGCTTAGGAAAATTTACGTCTTTGCATTTTTTATATTATTATTGAAAATTCACACTTCCATACTTGGACAAGAAATCCTTTACAAATTACAGAATATTATAGAAGACAAAAAGTTCAAAGAAATCTTCACTAACTATTTGAATTTTGACTCCTCTGTCAAACATTTGTTGAGGTTCCTGTGAGTATTTTGTTCACATCTCTATTAGCTTTTCAATATCAAATAGACTATCCTCCTAAGACTCAAGTGAGTGAGTTTGTTGATTTTCCAGGTTCTATGCAGTCTCTCATATGGATATGCAGACTGGGTTTCTGTCCAGGGAAAACTTTGAAACTGCGTATTCAAGCATCCAGAGACAGCCCAAACTAGAATGTTTAAGAAGTATGACAATTTTTTATAGTTTATTATGTGACATGTTCCCGACTTTTTCCATTTTGTATTCCAACTGTATAAATGGAGTTTCCTTCCATTTCATGTATTTTCTTTGATGACACCAAGACTTGATTTGAAAAGAACTTAACCTTGAGAAACTCTTACGACATTACATGATAGGAAGAGAACAATGCATGATCATATTTAAAATTGCCAGTGTATTTATTTTGTTATAGGACTTTTCCATATAACCTGTGTGTTAAGGGAGAGAAGACTGTTGTAGCATGCGAGATGATAGTCTTGATAATAATTACTTAATGGGTTCCTAAACTCTATGATGAAGACTTAATGCGATACGAAGGATAAGTCACATTTCAGGCTGCAAAACATTGTCTTATTCTTTAGTTGAAAAAAGCCTAAAAGAAAAAAAAAAGGCAATTGCATTTTCAAATCTCTCTTTGGTCTTCATGAGGAAACTAATGGTTTTTGGTTTGTCTTCATTGCAAACAGATTGTTCCATTTTGGAACTATATATTTTGGTATGCATGAAGAAATTGGAAGTTAAAGAGAAAAGTTTATGTAACTTCAATGCAGTAATGAAAGGTGATATTTGTTGTTTTATATTTCATTATTCTTTTATCTTTATTCCTTAACGTGTCTGCCATATCTTGCAGAGTATAAAAACATACATGATTCTTTCCAGACTTCTGATTACTATGCACGGAACGTCTGTTTAAGGGTGTGTGCCCTTGCTTTGATTATTCATTTAAAACCGAACATGCTTACATGAGTAAATGATTGTTATATTATGTTTCCTTTGATCATCTGACACCGGTCCAAACTTATTTGATGGTATCTTTATTGTGTATGCAGGCATTTGAACACCTTATACACCGCGAACTAATATGTTTCACAGACAATAGAGGACATAGTTTATCTGTTGAATTTCGTCCTGTAAAGCTATTAATTTCATCTGCTGAACTGTATCAAGGACTAAAGGCTTATCATTCTTGCCCCGTAAGTTAGCTGACAAAACAAGTCGACATGTATTTTATTTTTATGCTACATTAAGAAATATGAATCACATTATACTTGTTTTCTGCTTTACTATATTTGTAACCTCTTTCAATCGCTGTTATATGTCACGTATGCGATGGTAGGTGATCAGAGCATAATTTATTATTTGTATGTTTTGGCAGGCTATCCTTCAAAAGTTAATAGAACGTGACGGCTAAACACCTGAAGACCACAATATTTTGCTGCCTCTGTTGGTCATATATGTCGTATGATTCAAAATTTAGAAACGATCAGCTTGTTTTGAAGACAGATTTATTTTGTTTACTGAACACTTTTCCTTGATTATAATTGATGTACATGTAAATGAAAATTGTGTTCATTTCCTTTTTAACAAACAAATTTCTGTATGTGTAATCCCTATTGGCAATTTATGCCATCAAAGTATTCAGCAAGCTACCTCTTAACAGTTTTTCACTTGCACACACATAGTGTATATGTAACTTTTTTCTAAAAAATTGCAAACCAATTCAATCCAAAACCAAAATAAATTTGATCGCATTGGATGAGATTTGACTTAAATCCGAATAGACTGTAACAACCAAGGAACAAAGTCAAATAAAATAGTATATTGGATCATAATTGGAATGATCTAAACCAATTCAATCTTCAAAATCATCCCTAGTTAACGGTATGATCTATGATCTTTATTAAATATTAGAATTTTTACTTTTGACTGTTGGAATCTTGAGGTATGGAGTAAAAGTTAATTTTTTTTCTACCACAAATTAAGATACAAATTTCTTAGCAACTAAACCGATTCACTTGTACACTATATTAAATATAACTAAGCACTGTGCACTATGAAGGTGACTAAATTATTATTAATATAGAAGAGGACAAAGTTTATGATCTTGTCAAAAAATGGTTGATGATGTCAAGTTATCAGAATATCTAATTTTGAAAGAGAATTCATATATTTTGTCTATATCTCACAAACTCACAAATTTTCCTGACACAAACTAAACAGTTGCTTTTGTCTGACTTTATCTCGTCGATCAGTTCAAGGTTATGCATTTGATTTCCTTTTTCACAAGCATCAAAAACCATGCAATACCTCTTTGATTTGTCAGTTAAAAAACAATCACAATGTTCAACTTTTTGTCTCTCATTCTAATAAGTCATTTCTTTGTTCAATCCGTCCAAACTCTATAAATAACAACTTTTCAATTTACAATCTCTCTCCCCTTCCATATCATTTGGAGACTGAAGTAAAAAATAAATTACAAAAAAAATGGCTGCTGTTACTAATTTTACATATTCAGCTTCTCCCTTTCTTGTAAGGTGTTGTTCTATGAAAGAAAATCACCATGAACAATTGAATGGTAACAGTAGCATAAGAATGAATGGGAGTTTTAGGTCTCCGATTAAAGTCGAATCACTCAGTCAAACAGCTGAAGCTGCACCTACAACTCTTGTTGAAAACGGTCAACGACAAAACATACCGACGAAGAAGCAGTTGGTCGATTCCCATCGTCAAGGTCTCATCGTCGGTGTTGGTTATAGACAAACCGTCGTCATTAGGTCCTATGAAGTCGGTGCTGATAAAACCGCAACACTTGAAAGCATCCTCAATCTTCTTCAGGCAATTCAATCTATGTCATTACACTATTTCCATTATTTGCCTAAGATTTATTATCTGACACTTCAGATCAAAAACATGTCTGATATCTGACACTGACATATGTAATTTATATAGCTTAATTAGTAGTATATTTAAAATTTATGCAGGAAACGGCATTGAATCATGTATGGATGTCTGGACTACTGAGTGATGGGTTTGGAGCAACACATGGAATGATGAAAAATGATCTCATTTGGGTTGTATCAAGAATGCAAGTTCTCATTGATTATTATCCCATCTGGTAACTAAAAGTTCCTTTTTTTAATAACTACTAATCTATTATTATACAAAGACAAGACACAAATTAACGTAATCGAATTTGATAACTTTCATGTCATACTTGACAAAAAATGTACTATTTCTTGGAGGTTTTCCTAGGAGTTTTCTCCATATTAATGAGATTTCTTGTCCTGTACTCTTTTGGTGGCAGACAACTTTCTCTTTTAAATTTAAATATAGATATGTGTGTTGTCAAAGATATGCATTGCATAGAGTTTCACTAAAATTTTCCATATTTTAATCCATCATGGGCCATGGCAATCTCGAATCATAATCAAAATAACAAATAGAATATACACTTAACATGTGACAGGGGCGAGGTACTTGAAATCGACACATGGGTTGGAGCATCGGGCAAGAACGGAATGCGACGCGACTGGCTCATAAGAAGTCAAGCCACTGGCCAAATTTTCGCTCGCGCAACAAGGTATTCGCTATAACTATACATTTCTAGCACAATTTTTCTAACATTTTTGAAGTACTATATCATACATGTTCTAATCGAGACTACTACTTAACTAAACCAGCACATGGGTGATGATGAACCGTACCACAAGACGCCTCTCCAAAATGCCACAAGAGGTGAGGGACGAACTCGCTCCTTGGTTTATATCAAACCAAGCAATAAAAGAAGACGCTCCTGAAAAAATCGTCAAATTGAACAAAGAGGCGAAATACACGAACTCCAATTTGAAGGTATGGCATAGTTTTAATCGCGCTTAGTATCGCGATTGTGTATAACTAATGATTTTGTTTCACTGTCCACTTTGCAGCCTAAGAGAAGTGACTTAGACATGAACCAACATGTTAATAATGTAAAATATCTAAGATGGATGCTAGAGGTAAATTAAAAAAATAAACTTACTCATCATTATTAAAATATCATATAGTTAGTTAACTTTCATTTTTTTTTAATTATGGATTATTTTACAGACTATACCTGATCAAATTCTAGAGAGTCACCAATTATCTGGAATCATATTAGAATATAGAAGGGAATGCGGAAGTTCAGATATAGTTGAATCACTATGTGAACCTGAAGAAGATGAAATAGTACTTAATGGTATTATTGAGCCAGATTATTGCAAAAATTTGATTAATGGATTATCATTGGCATCATCAGATATTATAAATGGTGGTGGAGTTTTGAGCTACCTTGAGCATAGGCCAATAAAGTATACACATCTTTTACAAGCTAAGGGAGAAAAACAAAATGAAGAAATTGTTAGAGGAAAAACTACATGGAAGAGGAAATTCACTACATGTCCATTTTCTACATAGTAATGTATGTTGAAGTAGTTTTTGGGAAATGGTAACTTGGAAAGAACAAACTTCAATTTGTACTTTGGTGTGTGTGAACTAAGAATATTAGGAGAAAAAAAAAATATAAAGAAAGTGACATGATCAATGAAATTTAAAAAGTTATGAGTATGTTGCTTATGTAGTTTATGAAAGTGTTGTGAAATATAATATTATTTATTTATAATGAATTTTAGTTATATTTTCACCTAAATAAAGTTATATGACAAACAAACACAACATCCTCAAACTATATTTACTTCTACGTGTAATATTGTTAAAAGGTGTTACTCAATGGCCTTTCCAACATATAGAGAACTGAATATATTTGTGGGATATTCTTTCCACGCTTAAGTGTTATCCTACACTATCATGAAAAGTCTAAAATGTTCTTAAAGTATGGAAATACAACTTCAGATACACCTTTTTCATACAAATCTCAGATGAAACTGTTGAGAAATCTTTGTTCTGTTAAAATTTGATCCGATGATGCATTTTTGTATGAGCAAAAGATTGCTTTAGAGATGTATTTCCGTAACTCTTCTTAGTTTATTAATATGTGAGTTTTTCAGAGATGCATCTTCAGAATATGCTCTATTAATTCAAAACAACACTGGCAGAATGAAATACCCACATAAATTAATATTACATCGATAAACATTACATAAATTTAACATTACATGTCATTACAAATAGGTGGTTCAAGACGTTGCAACGTCCTTATAATATCTCCGGTTGATCTTTGAATCGTCGCATTTTTCCATCTTCACCTTTGATTTGTTTGGTGTCAACCGCAAGTTTTACTCGACTTCTCACATTTTTGATTATGTGATACTTACAAAGTAATGCAAACGATGTAGGAAACATCTTTGCAACCGAATTCATCTGCACAGTGTCGCAATCAGTGATTATGACTTGTGGCATGTTTTCTTGGTCCTTCAACATAGTCTCACCCATTTCCAAAGTCCATGTTACATTGTCTTCTTTTTGGATTCCAAAAATATAAAACCGATTGAATAAGTCATCTCCGTACAAGTAATACCAATAATCTCCAAGAGTAGACGTCAATACTTGTTAGTTTGTATGTGTTATGACCACGGAGGGAAAGGTATTGAACAACTTCGCAGAATCGGGATGACTCCAAAATATATCTTGAATGACGACTTTATTCTCATAAAGTTTGTACCTCGAAACATATTCTTCATCTTCCAAAAGCTTTAACAGTTGTTGCCTCTCAGATCTCGATCCTCTTACCGCCTTGTTGTCTCGAGCACGCACATTGTATATTAGCTTGACATTTGAAACATTTAGAGGTCTTTTCCGTTTCAAAGATGTGAGTATGTTCCTCTCCTCCAGAACAAGGTGACATATAATTGGATGATCAAATAGCCTGTCAATCAAGACATGATTATGTATACTGAAAATCACGTTAAATTTCCATGTCTCATCTGCCGTACAACATCCACACAATTTAAACAAACACTCACATTTCCTCGATCCCGTGTCATTTTGTTTCAACTTCCTAATCCTTGGTTGGTACGTGTCACTTTTTTCGCATATCATTGTTACAAATTCTTGTCTTCTATCTGAACCATTCTTGAACCTTCCGATTACAATGCCAAACCATAATTTCTCAGCCTCCATACGGACTCATCGTAGCATATGTTCACGAACAATAAACACTTATTTATTTGTATATTGTGCACGGACATCTACCTCGACAACAATCGATTGAACACCCAGTTTAACATCATCATTCACTTCATCCAGTTTAACACCATCATTCAATTAATCCAGTTTAACATCATGCTTCATTTCGACCGATTTAACATCCACACTCACAGTAGTTTTGGGAAACATATTCGGATGTACCATATCTATTACCACCAATAGCAAAAAAACAATGTCAAAACTCAAACTAATAGGACCCTCCAGAGATGCATCTCTGGAAATATCACT